CCCTAACGTTCTGTGATTCTGTGATTAATCTTCAAACTTCAATACAGAGGTTCAAATTAAATTTGGAAACTAATCTAGGTATTTTAATTTAACTATTTTTGCATCTTTTCCTTCCATTTGAAATTCTTAGTGTTTCCCAAAGATGACTGAAAGTTAGAATTTTAGAACTTTATTCATCATTTAGTCAGTCATGTTCTTTGACTCAGCTTCCCTATCTGTGAAATAAGAATAATGATTAAAAGAAGTTACTAAAATCATAAATAGTGTTATACACTGATTAGTATCTACTAATATGGATATGTCTACAACATAGTCATCTACGCAGATTTCTTACAGATCAGTTTTAGAGCAACCCACCAAGTTAGATTTTTACTTCTCACATTTTGTACATTTCCATAGCCTAACCTCGTGATTCAACTATGTACTTAGACCTGACAAGTGAAGACATCAGACCCTACTTTCCTATTCTGCTCAGTGTGACCTTTTAAAGCAATAGGGTTTGTCTATGCACATTTCAGGGCAAAACCTGTACTATAAAAATAGCAATAATAAGTGGTACCCAGTGGAAATAAAGTTATTATAAAAAAATAAATACATTAAAAGCATAGTCTCTTCAGCATTCTCCTGGGATGAACAAAAGTTTGAATTCATTGTTTTACCTCTTCACGTTTTCAGCTGAATCTTCTAATTCCTCAGATTCCATGTGAAACACACTAGCAAATGAATCCTAGAATATCGAGAGGATATTTTAATATATAGGTGTGTAAGGTTGTAATAAGTTAGAATACTAATAGTCATGAAAAGCTTGTTGCAGTTATCAAAACTTAATCAGTAATAAAGACAAGTATAAAATTATTTAACTTCATTTCACATCTATCGGCAAGCATGTAGGATCCTATCACAAAAATATATTTTGATACAACTTTCAATATCATTGAAGTATCTTGAATCTCTACTGATCACTCTGAGAGGAAATGTCACTATTTACAACCTGTGCCAAACAGATCTGTCAGCACAGAACTTCTGTGTTTTAGCATTCATCAGGTTCTAGACCTGCTTTGCTTGGACAGGTAAGGACATCAAAACCTCTTCAGCATATTGACTCATCTCTCTGTAGCTTTTCACACAGCATTTTTAATGGTTGAAAAGCCTAAATGTGGAGAGAAATTAGATTCTTTCTGTACTAAAGATTCAAACCACAGACTGCAAACTAGGTGCCATCAAAACTGATTTTGTGCAGGAAGAAAAGGCTGCCTTGTTTTTCTCCCAGCCTTTTCCTTTTTTCTGTCCTACATCAGTAGCCAAGCAAATGAGTTATGAAAGAGTTCAACATTCAAGATCTATGCCACAGGAGAGAACTTAGAGTCATAGTTTACCAACAGGTAATGCAAAATGGCTGCATAAAATAGCAGTCTGGCCTACCCAAAGACTGAAGCCTCCCAGGTCAACGCCTAACCTGAGTAGATGCCATAAAAGAAGAGGCAAAGGATGAAAAGTCAACAGAACTATGGGTTTGAAATGCTACTGAGTCAAAATGGAGGGAACCCCATACTGCTCCCAGGGAATGAGCACTTCTGCCTTTAAACAGAAAACATACTCACAGTATAATCTTCATCCACTATGAAGATGGTGCACCTCTGCACTTGCATGAAGGATATTATTGTGGCAGCTATCTTCTTCAGAATTACTTCCAAAGACTGCTGCTCTTCAAAAATCAGGCTGGCAAGATCAAGAAGCACCTAGGGAAAAGGTCTTTCGTGGAATTTCAACTAACAGTGATTTAAGCAATAATTACGATTACTACTGTCTTTGATTCTTCTCCTCTTTGCTGAATCAAGAAAGTCAACATGTATATCTGTGACAAAAATTGAGTTTTGGCTCTCACACAGACTGCAAGGCAACAGTAAATAATAGCCAGTTTGACACTTCTGTTGCAAGAAATAGAAAGCACAGTTGGCTGGCTGATGTCTCTGGTCAGAAAGAAAATTGATAGTTCATCAAAAGAAACCGGAGAAATCCAGACAATGCAGTTATTTGTTCGTAGGAAAACTAATAGCTTCCTATGGCTCATGTATGCATTCTAAAAAACACATAATATTTAAATTTCTTGACTTCTGAACACAATTTTTATCTCTTGTAATTCTAACATCCTAATGAAGTCATTTGATGAAAACACCATTTAGATACTATTTGCTGTATTTCAAAGCTGCTGCCAACAGACTTAGCTGCTCATATGATATTCCTCTTTACCTCACAAGAAGCATGGAGCCAATCTGAAAAGATTATCGAAATTTTGACCAATTTACAAACACTGATAGTCACTCAGAAACTCAAGACCTACTAGAAAATATTTAAAACAACTCCTGCCTAGTTTTTTTCTCCATAATCTTTTCATACCGTGTATGGCAGACATATTCCACTCATAAAAGCCATGGCATTAATAACCCATCAGTTATAAAGATGGCTGCAAAATGCAGTTACTTTAATCAGAAGGAAATTTAGTTTTCTGTATGATCATTACTGAAAATATGGTTAGTGACTACTTATAGTTGTGGAAGACTAAAAGAGCAATCTGTATAACCTCTGCCATTCTGTAGACATAATTCTATCTGAAATTTCTGGATTATTTACGCCTCTGGTTGTATAAAATATACAGTGAGCCACAGGATAACTTCAAGCAATATTGAGTATACTGTCATGGAGTGAATTTTCTGACATATAGGTTTTACCTCCTTCCCCACATGGTCTACTTCTCACAACCCAAGCTGGAATGTGCCCAGTGCAGTTAGTTAGAGCTTTATCAGAGATACAGAGCATTCAATCAGAGTAATTAAAAATAGCCAAGGAATAACTACCATATGAGAAATATCAGGAGTAGGTACAGATTACTAGCTAACCACCATAATTTCTGTGTTCTTGGGACAAACCTGTTGACCATACCTGATTACGCCTGTTTTCAAGCAAAGATGTCTCATACAACTGAGCGTTGTGAAGAACAATTCCACAAAATGTCAAATATGCTGCAAAATCCTGAAGACAAATAAACATCAACATCTCATGAAGATAATGTCTCACAGCATCGTAACTATTCAAAGATAAGCTACTGCAATTTTTTTGTTTTCACTTTGAAATATTAATTGATATTTTGAAGTTATTTTTGGCAACCACACATTCAGTAGGTTTTTTTTTCAGTTACTCATACTTTGTTATTTCTTCAAGAATCTCTTCTCCCTTTTTTAAACTAATGATCTTCACAGTTTATCTTGGTAAAAGTAGGACTAATATAAGAAGGAGCTAAGAGGAAACAACTCATTTTGGAACAATGCATATTTTATCTAGAAAACCTGAGTGCAGATAATCAGCCTCTCTTATTTTGGGAAATTCAGTCTCTTGGAAAGTGGAAATAAAATTCTGCTAACATAGCAAAACCACAAGATCTTTCCATTTTGGAATAGGATTAATTCTGATATCCTGCAGATACTCAGTATGCATACTGTTTTGCAGGGGAAGTTTTCAAGGGGGAAGGGTAAATTCTGACTTTTTTTATTGCTGAGGGTTAAGTCAACATCTTTAGCCTGAGTGCAGCCTGTTTTTTGCTATACCAATCTGAATGTGGAAATGTTTAGAAAGCATCTGCAGTGTGAAAATTAAGAATCAAGGTGCTGTCTGCAGTACTGATTATCTCATATATTGTTCATAATTTATCCAAAGCTTTTTTTCTTCCTGCAATTGCTGTATTTTAAAAATAATCACTGTGCCAATTTTAATATTCAAAATATGGCTGCTGAGGATCCCAGGAGAGTTAGAACCAATTCATAAAAATATATGTCTATTAAAAGTTATGAAACTGTTTTACAATGCACTTCTATAGAGTAAGCCTGTGTTTCAGAGACGTAGTAGAGACACCATGCTGATCCAGAAATTAAACTATTTCACATCCACATTTCTCATGACCTCATAAAGAAATAAATTTGCAGTATTACCAGGAATTTTTACTTTTTCAGGGGTGTTTAATTTTTAGTGACTTGAAAATTTCTGATCAGAATGAAAAGTAGTAACATTTATTCCCCATTCCCCTATGAAAATAGAAGAGACATACATGTCCAGCTTTTATACCTTTTCATCTTGTTCAGTGAAAGTGCCGCCAATTCCAGATTTCTTATTGATTGCTTGAGCCACACCAACAACCTAGTGTATTGAAAATGGAGTGATTAGGTAATTTTTAGGAGTCTGCCATTGGACTCTATTTCTAGACATATTTATAGAAGACAGTAGCAGCACTTTACATTTCTGCAGTCACAAGCCAGACCATGCAACAGCCTTGTCTAAAGCTCATTTGTTTGCATGTAGAAAATACCCTTCCTACTTGCTCTGACAAAGTTTCCAAAACATAGTCTCCTTACTGGATCTTGAGTTTGGCTGCGGTGATCTTTTTGCAGTTTGTTATCTCTCCAAACCTGATCAGATTAATCTTCATCTGCTGACAAATGTACAAAGGTTGTGTACCTGCCAGACTCAAGTTTGTTACTCAAACTAAGTATATTTTTAAAGGTAGGCTTTTAGTAAGACCACATTAAACCAACACTGAGAAGAGCTGGTAGTTAAGACTCAGCTTCTTGCCAAGATATGCTGATATCTTGCCATTTTTAATTATTTTACCTATGGAGCAACTACTCAGAAGATAGGGAAGAATCCTGGTTTACAGGTAAAGAAGCTAAGCAAAGGGTAAAAAAATCATTCACTGGTCCTGAGGACATCTGCAATAGACCTAAGAAGCAAATCCATATGCCCTGATCATCATTAAAGGCTTTTTGTTAACTAGTTCTTTCTGCTCTCTGCACATGGCTTAAGTCCTAGCTTTCAAATGGACTATGTATTAAGATCACCAGCCAGCTGGCTTTATAAATTAAGGCTGCTCACATGAGTAAATCAGTGCACAGACAGTAACAAGGAGGGCTTACTTGAACTAGAAAAAAAAACTACTATCATTTATGAAATAAAGACATTGACAAACCAGCTCCATTTACTTTCTTTGTTGGCTTGTCTCCTTTTGGATATAAGTGGAAGAAAATGGAATCCATGTAGCAATAAACTAAACCACATTACACATCTAGTTTTATTCTTATTAAATTCTGTCTAAATTATGTTAAATTTCAGATTATGCTTTTCTAGTATAGAAAGAATGTGTGATAAATTTTGATTTCGTGTTTCTGGACATAATTCCATAAATTGAAAATCTGTGAAAGTGGAATTCAGATCTTTGCTTAGTACTGATTCTAGTTTCTAATGCAGGCTCTAACTCTGACATATGGGGCGAAATGAAATTGGGTGGTTGCTTTGGACTTCTACATTCTCAAGGTGTTAATGATGGCATTTTAAAATTTATAATTGCTAAACTGACACAAGACACACAGACAGTGTTATTTTTGCAATGGAAAAGAAGACAATTTACTATCTCATAGCCTAGTATTCCCAAAATGCTGATGTTACAAATAAGGTCATTGTTCAGCAGCATGAATCACTGCCAACTGTGGGCTCAAAAATGTCTGTCTGAAATAAAGTGTAACTGTCAGGTCCGTTCCATGTAACTCAGCTCTTCCCTGCAGTCATCCTTTCATTTACTACTATGAGGAATACTTATCCAGTGAACTTTCTCACTGTAATAACAATGTGCAACTAGCCTTATATACTTCTATAGCAGACTTGGAATAGTAAGCAAATCCTTTAACCAGTCAATATGCTTTTATGTTAACCTACATGTGCATTAATGGTTAGGTCTTTTCTCATACCGCTGTCTTCTGTGGGTATTTATTTTATTTAATTTTATTTTTTTTCAGTTTTGATCCAGCATGAGCTAAGGCACATTTAATGAAGTCAAAGGCTTTTTAAGGCGTCCAAAAGGTGAGTGCTTTCATCTTGTGTAAACACATCTCCTCCGTGAAAGGAAAGCCTGTGGTGCTTTAAAGCTATAGAAAAACAGTAAAAGGACTATAATAATATATCAGAAAACCTATTTAGGCTTCCTTTATTAGCACTTCAGGTTTGTCATACGCTAAAAAGGCATGTATTCCAAAAGAAATGGTCACTTTTAGATCTTTGTTAACATCTTTCAGTAAAAGGTTGTAACTGAAGAGAGCGGGAGTAATGAGGAGAATAAACATGTTAAAAATTCATGGTTGTCTTTATGAGCATAAAAATGTTATGCAGATACAAACCCTTCTTTTTTGTTGTTGTTTTGTTGTTGTTTTAGCGATAGTCTAAGCTTTTAAAGACAACTTTGCAGAATGTGCTGTTTTTTCATACAAAATAAACAGATTTTAAAATAAAACTGGTCCAAATTATGGCCTCATTTATATCATTACTAATTCCAGTGAACTTCACTAAATTCTGAAGAATGTGGTGTAGAGACAGTACTGAGAAAAACCTCAGATGGATATTATTTAGCCATTGGAGTCTTGCCCGCAACCAGGTAATGAGGAGAAGATGTATGATACTCAAGAGGATCCGTTCCTGTTACTAAAGCAATTATGTAATTAGGACAAAAATAAAGCATGTGGTAGCATTTTAGGCCATGGTGAACATATGTCTGCATTTTGGAGAATACTAAGAAAAGTACTGAAACCCAAATCCTCACTTTAAAACTTACTGTAAACAAATCTGAAATAACAATAGGCTTGATCTGTGATCTCCTGGGAGTTATGTTCGCACCAGGAGAAAAACTGAATCAAAGGTGACTTAACTGCTCTGAGCTCAGCTATTTAGAGAACAGGTGCATTAAAAGTGTGACATCTTTGTGGCAATAAACAAAATGTATCTACATGTCTGAGATAAAGCTACTTCTCTGTAAAGCTTGAAGAATTTAATTTAAAAAATGACAGTCTATTCTTTCATTTGCTCATGAAAGCACTGATCCAGTCTAACAAAAAGATGTTAAGTTACTTAGGCACAATACTTTATATGTCTTTAATCCTCTAATAGGCAGGCACCAAGTGAACTTTTTTAAAATGTGAGTCCTGTAGCGATAAAGCAAATATACATACATTTCATTTCATTCTCCTACTACGCCTGCAGAATTATCCTGTATGTTTCTTGGTCACCCAAGACAACATGAGTAGGAAAGAAAGGGGTTAAAAACAGCTATGAGAGGGGGATGGCCACTAGAAAAGCATAAGGTAGTACTCTGGCCTGAAGAAAACCAATACTGAGGGAAAGACTGAACTAATTAGTATCTGCTTATATTTTGATACCTGTGAGCTTTTGCTCCAATCCCTAAAGTAACCAGTGAGCTGTTGAGTGCTACGCACTCTTTTTTCATGAGCTTTACCCCCACTCTAACTAGGGAGATGGTATTACAGAACAAGGTATATCTATAGTAGTCATGCAGTTCCTAACAAGAGCCTTCATCCAGCTTTGCTGGATTGAAAGTGTATAACGGGGACGGGCAGAAAGGAACAAGCTGTATGTACAGGACCGTAGTGGTCCAGCTTTCTTTAAAGACAGTTGGAAAAATTCCCCTTGGATCAGAAACCAAGCACTTTGTCATTGGCCATACAGATCACATAGACAGACATACACCATGAGGAGAAAAACCAATTTTGATGATGGAATTGTTCTCTTACTTTCAGTCCCCAAAAGGAGGAAAAAACCCTCCAACAATTATTCAGTCAATATCCATACCTTTTTTACTACATCTGAACACAGTTTTCCTAATAGTGTTCTTGCCAGCAACACAGGTGATCTTCCCGTGCTGCTTCTGTAAACTTTCTTCTTGATCTGTACCTGTTACCTCATTTAATAACGCCTGATCCACATTACAAGGAGAGATTTCTTCTGATTATCAGAGGGCTTTTACTAACTATTTTCTTGCAATAGCTGACTCCTGCTCCTAAAAGTAGGAGGCTACCTAGAGTGTTCCCAGTAGATGATGACTGATAACTTCAGTGCTGATGACCATGCCCTGAATTTTATCTGGATTGTTTCATGCTGCAGTTTTTTGTGCATTAAGATTACAGGCCTAACTCTGTGAAAGCTGTTCCAGAACTTCAGGCAGCTAGTGCTCTTTTTAGTTGATTTTTACTTCAGCTGACTTAATATAATTTTGCTTCCTAAGAAAATGTTTTTTATTTACTTTGCTGGCACCCAAAGAAAAATGACATTAAGGCAAAGAATGGTAACAAGAGGAGGGGAAGTCAACTTTTATCTCATTTTAAAGATGGGAACATATCCACTTGAGAAGACAGTTTAAGTGGTTTTAACATTACTTTGCTCTCCCGCTCTCTTAGAGGTTTGATTCAGGCTCATAAAATTATCCTACAATGACAGAACTGTATTTACAGACTTTCATTTTTAATCAACAAAACCTTCATATCCTCTTCTGTCATTCAAGCCAACAGTAGGCTGCATGATTTCCAACAGTCCAGTTAGTATAGCACATGTCTCAGCATAAGCTGAAAATCCACCCAAGCAGCAAATTACTGATCTCCATAATCCTGCAGCAAGACTGCTACAGGAACTTGACTTAGTTTGAAGTTAGCCTGGCCAGATCTACACTATACTGCAGTGATTGTGATGTATTAAATAACTTAGCTGGCTAACAGTAACATGCCTGGTCACATTTTATACAATAAAATTCAACAGGATACTTTCAAAGGCTGTTGGAAATAAGAGTAGTGCCCCTGATTTGTTGAGAAGAGCTTCCCAGTGACAGCAGATAGGGCAAAGTAAACCACAACAAATGAAATTATTGCAGTGAGCGTTGCCAGAATAAAACATTAGTAGGAAGTTCAGTCTTGCATACTCAGAGCCTGGGAGATAGGTCTCAGTTAATTCAGCTAGAAGTTCCCATATGAGAAAATCCTACACATTTTAGTAGAAATTAAACTGAAATAGAATTTTATTAAAATTATTTTGCACAGCTGAAAGAAAAGGATGCAGAAATAACAGAAAATGGTGTAGTCCTTTTTCTGAATCTCTGAATCCAAACCCAAACAAAATCAGAAGAAAGTGCCACTGCATTTGGTGACTTTATTATGGGAGCTCTAGAAGGTAAATCAGTACCTTTTGGAACTTCCAAACAATTGAAGGCTTAAGGACAGACCAGAAATGAAAAACTGCTTTTTGAGATACACAATGCTGAACTGCCACAACTTTAGGTCTTCTGCAGCAGTGGTAAAACCTTGATTTCTCTATAAGCACTGTAGCACTGAAATGTTTAGCATTAATAGCTACAGCTAAAGCCTGGGGCCAGCAATACTACTTTCCTCTTGTAAAAGAAATAACCATGGTAACTCTGTGGTACAAGCTGGCCAATATTAATGTTTTATTGGTGGCTTTTGTACTACTAAGGATAAAAATTCAATCTGCTTTGAAGGTTTTGATGTGTTCTTTGAGACACATTGATAACCCAAGACACAAGTCTTACCTATTGAAGTCTAGATAACTATACAGTTACCTGCTTTTAGAGAAGAATCACAAGAAGAGAAAATTTTTGAGGATCAAAATGGGATCTTTGATATGGCTTCACATTCACCTTATAACAAATTTAAATACAGGAATAGATGATTAAATAATTTGACTTAGAACTATTTTGTTTTTAAGTAGAACACAATTCAGATTACCCAAGGCCTTTCTTCCTCCTCATTTTCTTCAGTGGTGAAAACCAGCAAATAATACAGTCTTGCATGCCAGAAAGCATCATGTGGTAATACTTTTGTCATATGATGGGATGGAAAGAATTTCTGTTTAGCTATTACAGACTGTGCAGCAGGGGTTTACAGATACCAGAACTTTGTTCAAAGCCCCTGAAGTCAGATGCAAAGCTTGTTCAGTTTGCAATAGTAATTTTTCATGGGAAAACAAGAACTCTTTCGAAAGCTAGCACTCACTGTACAAGCCTCTATGATCTGATCTTAAAGGACATAATCAGCAGAATTTTATGCATCTGAAATGCAATGTTTCTGTGGCATTTCTGTCAGCAAGGAGGGGATTGAGAAAAAAATATTTTACTATTAATTGAACAAAATTCCATTCTTCATGTACATCTCCGCAGAGGTAAAGTACTTGTATTGCACAGCTTTTTTTTCTTATTATTAGTACCTGGGTCCTTTTTATGAGCTCTTCTGTGAATCAAATTGTTGTCTTCTTTTCATCTATGGAACTTCTTACTAGCTGGTTTTTTTTATGTGAGACTTGGTTTCTCACACGTCTCATGGAAATAATAAGCAAATGTGAAAAACATCTACTGGAAAAATCTCCGTACTTCAGCAGGCCCAGAGGATTTAATAATCAGCATGAGATTTTCTTCCTCTCAATTACTGACTCTTTTGTTTTTAAAAAATAGTATAAATACTAAAAAAAACCCAACAAAACAAACAGAAAACTCCAGTTGCTTCTCTTTCTCAGTGTTTATTTTTGAATGTCTTCCAGAATAATCTTTTGACTGTGGCTGCTGACATCCAGGCAGCATTCACTAGGCTCAATAGTACAAGAGGGGCTCTGGGGATTTTTTTTTTCCCAACAGGGAGGAGCCAGTATTATGGTTTTGTTGTTTTGTTTTAAACAGAAAAAGCAGCAGAAAGCAAATGTCAAATTAAGGACTGATTCACTTACTCCAACATCTGTCCAGAAACATGTCAGTCATATTATGGTAAGAAGGAGAAAAGCCTTCTGGTACAGACTTTAAACTTAGAAAATAGTAAAAAGTGGCATGCTTTCCTATGAGAAATCTTATAGTTTAGCCACTTCAAATTACTAGAGCATAACACTTTCCTCAAATACAGGTTGGCTGAACTTTTCAAAATAAACAAATACCTGCTTCATTTCCACTTGCTGATGCACTTAGGAGTAGAAAACTAGCTGAAGATGCGGCCAATTGCAGGTTTATTTAACCTGTAAGTCATGGTTATTCCTTCCCCCACCTACCAGCAGGACCCAGTGAGAGGTAAGCACTTTCACGCTCCCTGGCCAGCAAGATTTCATAATTCATTTCTAATCCAAATTACATAGTACACAGCATTTTTTCCATTCAAAAAAAAGAAAATGGGATTGGCTTGGGTGAAATTTAAGCCTTGCATCAGCCTCATATGGACTACTGGTCCCTGACAGCTCTTCACACAGCATTTGCTTTTTGCATCAGCTGGCTCAAGGCCAGCACTGGTTGCTGCTGGTTGGGAAGGGGAAGACTTTTAAGCAGGAGTGGGAGTAGGAAAGGCTCAAGTGCTGTCCTTGGAAGAACTGAAAGAAATATTTTAAACCAAAATTAGCAGTAGGTGAAGAAAGAAATCCTGGCTGACCATCTGGGTCAGCTAGAGTAAGATTCAACAATCAAGTTAAATCAAGAGTTTAATCATTTTATTTAATGAAAAAGATTCAGTGCAGTGAAAGTCAGGGTAACGCATACCACAAGAGGAGTAAAAGATGGAAAAGCAAGAAAAAGAAGGTACTTCAAACCAATCTTGGCAGCATTTCTTTTTGGAGTTTAAGCTTTCTGGAAGCAAATTATAAATACTCTTAAAAATACAGGAATTACAGGGGAGAAGATCTCCATCTTAAAGCTCTGACACACTCTATGGGGAACCTTATACTTTGTGAGTATTCTAAGAACTGGTGATGTGGCTGAAGGCTACAATGTTCAGGATCAAAAAAACTCCTCTTACTTACTCCCTAAGTAAAACAGTTGACTTCACTATTTTTCATTCATTGACTCTCATTAACTTTACTTGAACTGCTCAAGTTTTTCATGCCTGATGTTAAGCACTTGTTAACACTTAACATGTTTCTTGATTTATTACTTATAAGCTGAGTTAACAGAATGTAAAAACCAACCATTAGACCATAAAACCCAATTTGTATCCTCTTAAAAAAATAATGTAGATACAAGCTAAGCTGAAGTACAGTAACTCTTAAGTGTGATCTGAGTGTGCAGAGATAGACCAATAAGCGGGCAGAGAACTTTAATGCTGCCAGATACAAGTACAGGAACCAGGAGCAGCACTTTTAGAGTTAAATACCTATATTCTACCTCTGCATCTGAGATTAAACTTTTCTTGACAATTCCCTATTCCTTTTGGCTTACATTACTGAACTAGATAAGATAAAATTAAAGTCCAGGAAACACAAGCAGTCTTTTTTAAAAAGATACAGTTCTGTTATGTAAAATAATGACTGACGGTTAATGAAAGTGGAAAGAATTAGCATAGCTTGGAATAGTATTACATGAAGTGATCTCAATAATGTAACTTACCTCTTCCCTATGATTCTTTATTGGCATACAGAGAATACTCTGAGTCTTATACCCTGTGATCTGGTCAACTTCTGCGTTGAATCTTGGATCCTGATACAAAAGAAAAATATAATTAATACCAGTTCTCTTTCTTCCTTGGTTTAAAAGTTAAGAAAAGTACAATATTTGACTTAACTGTCACAGGATAACAAGGTTCCATTACTAGCTAATAATTATATAAAGTTGTTACTGTCAATGTGGTAAAACAACCGAAAAAGCATTTATGTGGAACATGAGTGCCTGTGCATAAATACAACTGCCAGAAAGAACAAAAAACCCCAAACTCTAGAAGTCTTCCCTGACCCTAGACCATCATTATAATAAATTTATACATGGACTAACCATCTCTAGTGTAGCTTTTATCATCAAGAAGAAATTACAGAAATATACTGAAAAGATATGGCCACAGAGAAACACAGTTTCATGAATGTGGTTAGTGTTTTAGCTTTTACCAGAGATTGCTTGTTTCATTTATTCAGCTGAATATTGTTACAAAACTGATTTCTTTTAAATCCTACTAAAATAAATCAGTCTATCTTGAAAGGCTACTGTTCTTTCTCTAGTAATTGGTTTCAAGTTGCACATGATGTACCCAATTCAAGAAGTAACTTTTACAATATAAGGACAGGTGATGTCCCACTGGAAACATGTACTTAGCAAATGTTCAGACAGTTCCTGAGACAGCAAACATGTGTTTGTTGAAAATTAAACCATATGAAATCATACCACTCTTTTTTGCTTCTTAAAAAAACCTACTCGGTGATGTTACCTCATTCTGTAAACATGCTTAGATTAACTGAGAGATGATCCATCAGAAGCAGTGATTTTTAGCTCTGTATGCCTTTATTATTAGTAAATTAATCAATTAAGTAATTAATTAAAATTTCCATCATCTCTAAAGTCAAACCACAGAATCAGCATATCCAGAGCCTGGAATGAACAGATGTTAAGATGAGATGCAAGAGATGTCCTCTTCCAGTGCTGGATTCTCTTCCTTTTTTCATCCGGCATTGTATTACGTGACTCAAATCGCAGAGTATTGTTTCATTTGGGACACCTCTACACAGTTCAAACCCTCAGCCTGTTCTTGTTCACTCAGCTACTACTCTTTGTGCCTCAGGTAGGATAAAATTCTCAGAAGTGCTTTTAGTCATAGAACTCCAGTTTTGCAGACAGCTTCTTACAGTCACAATTTCATTCTTTTTGGTGCAGGAGTACCTTACGTCCTTACATGAGCAGAAATACTAACATTTGAGCGTCCAAAGCTAGAAATGCAAATCCTGGTGTGCATATAGCTGGTTAAGATGGGGCTGAAAATCTGACTCCTAATGTCAAACTGACATGATTTATTTTGATGTTAGCATTCCTCTAACGTTAGTCATAGCTACATGTTTCTGTATATGCATGCATATGTAATACATGTATTATAACCCACAACTTGGAGTCAGGTTTCCATCCTGACTGATTAAACTCAATATAGCTCCAAATACACATACTAAAATGGCAATATTACATCAGCTGATAATACAGCTTTTTTTTTTCAAGAATTGTTCAAGCTAAATTTTCTTGGTTTACCTCATAGGCATTCTTGATGTTCAGAGGCTGGCCTACAGCTGCTACATGGCCCACAATGCCCTTGTTCCACTCCAGGCGAATGCAGTTGTTGGAAGCTTCTTCCAGGGTGGAGCCTTCTGCCACATCAAACAGCCTGCTCACAAGAAACTTCTCATTAGAGCTATCCTCACAGACCAAAAACAGGGAATAGCGATCAGCTGCTATAAGCTCATGGATATGTAGGAAAATTTTATGGCAAAGTGCTGTGACATCTAAGTGACTAGAAATATCTTTCACAAGTTCTAATAGTCTTGAGCATTGATCCCCTGCACTGGTCTCAATTCTTGGAGATTGCAGAGGCATCTGTTCCTTCTTTTCGGAGTCGGAGAGGAAGCTCACTGCTCCTACTGAGTCTTTGACAAAAATAGGCCTTAAGGGTCTGTCAAATTCAGAAGCAGAGATTTTCCTCGCTGGCGTCCCAGAGTTGGTGGTCTCAGCACAGGCAGGCTGGTGACAAGCACAGGATTCACTCTGGGACTTGGTTCCCTCCTTGCAGACTGGGATGGTATGAATTCTCTCAGCAAACCATGCATTAACCATTTCTCTGTAAAACAAAAATAAAAAACACAGTGGATGATCTAAGATAAAAATCTTCAAGAGCTAATACAAAGAGGATAACTTTAAACCTTTTCATGCACCTTTTGGTGCTCCTCTGTAGCAATATTCTTCAATTTTACACAGCACTTAGCCTAGATTAACCAGTAATGTTTTATGCCCCATAACAAGGAAGCTATTTCTGCCTAAAGGAAATACCTGAATAGGGCAGAGGAAGACTGCTTGTGCTGTGGCTTTCAGAATATAGAAGTTTATAGAAGTTTACACTGTAATTTTGTGCTTGAAAAGTTCCTATCCTTCCTATTCCTAAGATTTGGATTTCTGTATAAGTTGTATATATATACTCATATGAAGATAAACTTTCTATTTTAATTTTGTTTTTCTAGACCACTTCTAACTTTTCTAAAGATAATTTTGAACTTTAATTCTGTCAAATCAGCTGCAGCCCCTCCTATTTTTGTTGCCCACACACTATTTTTAAATTAACTTAACCCCTCTGCTGTTAGAGGTAATGAAAAATGCTGTTTTGACTCAAAGTACAGAACTGTTGTTTAAAAACTGTCAGAAAGAAACATTCATATTTCTAATTAAAACTCCTTTAAAATAATGATAAAAGAGGCTGTTTTTATGCATCTTTCCTTTCCTTGCAGATGAAACTCATTGCTTAATTCCAAAATACTGAATACCCCCAAAATTATATTTTTGAAGAGTTTAACATTAATTTAAAAAGTCACACATCTGTAGTATTTAACTGTGTTTCTCAAATGAACTTAGCACTAGAATGCCAACCCTAATAATGCCCTCACTGAGCACAGCAGATCTTGAATTATTCATAAGCAGATATATCATCAATAACATGAGTATACATTTTCTTATCATTATAATATTTTCTTGTCCAAAATCTGTTGGTCTGGTTGTTTTTTTTAAAATACAGAGTGCTTTATTTCATTTACTCATTCTCGAGGCTTCCTCACAGCACACGATCTGCTCCCAGAAGGAACGTTTTTTCTGAATTACATAACGTATAGGGCTATGAACAGCAAAAATCCTATTAAAAAGTCTGATCTTTTGGAAAACTTTCATGGTGGTCATGTTTTAAATTTGGGATATTTTTCATTTGCTCAGCAGACCACAGGAATTTCAAGAGTGAAGCTGAATGAAACCATGGAAATTAGTCAGGTTAGTCAGCCGCTGATCATTTACATGTATCAGTGTATCTTAAATATGAAAAGCACTGTCCGTAGCCTTTTTTCCCATACAGAAAAGCTTCATCTATGTTGTAGAAAGCAATATTGCAAGTGCAATTAACCGTTTATTTAAAGTAACCAATTGAATCTAAAGTCCACCAATATTCTTTTATTAGCATACAATCCACAGGAAACTTAGTCTTCTATTAGGAAGGTTTGAAAGTGTTTTTCAGATTTTTCAATCACGTATTTGGAGACCTCAACTGTAGGCAAATATGCTATGAGAAACTGAATTGATTTAGGAAATAATATAAGTGTAAAGGGAGCACCTAGGCAAAAGAAAGTTATTATGTTACTGTACTCATTCCACTTTGGTGTGAGCTACCTGGTAATTTTTTCCCCCTTAAAAAAAGTATGTCTGACTGAGACAAATATCTCTCAGTGTAGCACAAATTCTTCTCTTATTTACACCAGTGCAACTTCAAATAAATTGATGATAGGCTACTCTTTATTTTAGATTCTGTCTGTGTATTGTGGTCCTGATCATGTAAAACTTTACATACATTAATATCATTCATAGCCCCTGTGATCTTCAAAGCTGAATGGTAGGTGTGGTCACATAGGACATTTGTGAATCTTCTGACAGTGAAACTCTTGAGTTGTAAGGCTTTTTGTCCAAACCACTGTATGCAAAGTTGGACACAATTAAGGCAGTGGGAGTTTTGCCTCTGAGTTCCACAGGGCTAGGATTTCGTCCCATGTTTTTACATTTTCCATGAAGCTCCTGGAACAGTGCTTGCTGTAGCAATAATATACCTCAATCAACATCTATTATAAATTTCCCAGCAATCTAAAGCTAGTCCAATTACTGGAAACATGGTGCCAGAGAACACAATGAAAGTTCCAGTGTTGTTCTGAAAGACTTTTGGTTCATTGCTTGGCTACTTATTTTTAAAAGAATATCTGCTTTTACAGTATATTAATAAAAACTACCAATGATCCTTCTTTATTACAGCAGTGATAGGTATTTTTTTGTGGAGTTACCTCATCCAAATGTTTCTTGCAATGAAGAAGCATAAAGAACAATTAATATATTATTACCACTTTGACTTTAACACAATTACTTTATCAGGATAAATACTAAATGCGGGAGGCCATGACCAGGTATTACTGCAATGCATAATATAATTTGCAGAGGGTAATATCACATTTGCAAAAGCTGTTTCAATGAGAGCCAAAATAAGCAGCTAGCATTTGAAAACATTTGAAAATTTCATTTATTAAACTGAATGAGAAAACAGAATAAAAATTGGTGATGAAAATGACCAAAAATATCCTTAAGAAAAAAAGAAAAGCTTAAAATGCAAAAATTTCTAAGTAGACACAGCACAACCTCTAAAATCAGTGCTGATAATTCTTGTCATCATATCTGTTATGTTATATTCGAGTTCTTTTTGTTTTACACTAACCTCCTCAAGAAAAGAAACTACCCGTAAGTTTTAGCTTTTTCTATACAGAATTTAGCATCTAGCACTAAGTCTGCAGGGAAGAACCTGAAAACATGAGCCAGGTGCAATTAAAGCCTCAGGCACAAGAACATCAATATAGAGTAATCAATAGTTTTAAAAGAAGGCTTGTGACTTGAGTGAGTTTCATGACTGTGTGTGCTGACTTGATTTTTGAACACTGAGGACTGGCATGAGTGTAAAATAAGATTTAAAAGTAACTGTAATAACCTAGTATCAGATGGAGAGCTTTCTTAAACTAGCAAGTGATGAGGCACAGGAGGCTGCGTACCTTGTCTAGGCATGTTTGAAAATGCACCTGTCCTATTGCTGAGTGGCTACAATTTTTAGAGTAATATCTGATTCACTGTTTCTTTACACATGAGGAAAGAAGAATATGAAATGCAACCATTTTAGCTAGCTTTGTTTTACACTGAATTTACACAGGTGGATGTGCTGATATAAGATGCAAGGCAGAGAAAGAGTCAGGTACCCCCTGCGGACAAAGCAAAAGCTAAAGCAGAAATTTGGCTCATCAGTTGAAACCTGTAATTTTAGTTATTCTGGCGTGTTGTGTAATGATGTCCCCTGGCCTTAATAGTGTAGTAATAGTAATCACTCAGAACAATGTAGTCTGAATCCTAATACCAGTTCTCAAACTGTGGCCATGAGATAATTTAGTTTTCACCTTCTTGCCTTATTACTATGTAAAATAAGCATGCATTTCTCTATCTTGTGGAGGATATTGAGGGACGTGGAACATAACTGTAAAATCTTTCACATGAAAGTAACTACATTTCTTTAATAAGGACTGACTACTTGTTAGGTATTGGCACTATTTATGAAGCTCTTTGAACAGAATTACATGTGGAGCTGCATAATTATGAGTAACATATTCCTGTCCCCTTTGACATCTCTTAGATGATGGTCTAGTAACTTCCCAACATAGTGTGCACTTCTCAAAAAAGCTCTGTAGATTAACAACAACAACAAATCCTTACCTATACTGTTTAAAAGCATGGTTTTCAACTTCAGACCATTCAGGCATTTTCACTTAGGCAACAAGAAAGCCGTTCAAATTCAGCTGGAATAAGAAGTGTTCACTGACCTTTACTGAATGACTCTTCTAACAAGGAAACTATTGAGCTCCTTTTACTTACACATTTTACTTATACACATGGATGAAATAACTAGCATTTTATATTAACCAATGTATTCTAACTCTAAAATCTATCAGTCAAAGTCTTGATATGTATTTGCTTGTTGACAATCCTATTTAACAATGCACGACAAGTATTACTACTAACAGAACTACTTTCTCAGCACAGAATTAGCTCAACAGATATCCAACACCAGATACATACTGAACCACAACAAAGTTACTGGAAATTAGTGGCAAGTGCTATGTATGATAAAGATGTCATTTTGTAAAGACTACAAAAAGAAACAAATACTTGTGACTGCTCTATTCATATGAATGGTCTTCAGCAAGCATTGGCATTGTCAAGAACTGATAGTAAGGACAAGTCAGTAAAAGCAAGTTTAGAAGTTGCAGGAGTGGATTAAACAGGTGCAGATACTGGTCCATAGTGATCTATGAAGTTAGTTAAAACCAATGCAATTTCTCCATCCTAGCATAGAAATCACTACATGTTGAGGAGTTACAGGCATCAGCATCCATTCCTCATGGGCTGCATGCACCCTTTACTGCTCTATGAGAAAGCTATAATTTATCCTAGAGTTCATAAACAGGAATAAATGACCATGAAGTAATCATTTTCTAGTCACTTCTATCAGCCAAATCCAGTCTTTCTTCTATAAAACACTATTTCAAAGGAGCGTGACAGTAGTGACTGCTGAATTTGGCTGGTGACCTCATCAGCAAATGATAAAACAGGAGAAAAATTTTGAAGGGATTGCGATGAAGAGATAGGGATGAGAAGAAGATGAAAATACAACATCAGGTAAAACGTCTGAATTAAAAAAAAATATTTTGTGATCCTTCCCTCTATAATCATCTGTATGGAACTACACATTATCTGCATTATATGGAACTTCATAGGAATTAAGACACTCTGGCCCTGACTTTTTACACACTGTACAGAAAGTACACCTGTCGCTAAAGCAAGAAGTTTTCAGAATGAATAGGCAACAAAAACAGAAAATCACCGGGTGAGAAAACACAGGCACAAGGAAGAGACATGGCTTGTGCCAGGTCATACAGAAGGGTGCAGTTAGACCTGAAGACAACCTCCGGTCTAAGACCTAAAGAGAACCTTGCTTTTATTCCTGTGCCGCATCTATCAAACCATGCTGACCTGACACTAATTACTATTCTATTCATACACTTGGGAATATTAAATAATTTATTGTACCCATCTTTGCTTCATTGTGATTATCTTCAAAATACATTGCATACTTGTCCAAAAAAATTATAAAAAAATCAGTGAAGATGTTTAAAGAGTAACGGCCAGATTTGCTCACACATGTAACCAAGCTACGCATGTAAGACCATACCAGTGTGACCATTTAGCAAGTATTTGGCATCTTTGGGCAAAATGTGCAAAAACAGAGCACAAAAGTAATACCAAGATGCAACTATGATAGTCTACTGCATCTTACTTTTCTTGCACAAAGAATGCATAATAATTACTTTACCATAAAAGTACTGAGTGACTAGTGGCTTTCAGTGAAACGACGAGTAATTCCCCATACATTGTTGCTCATAACTCTTTCAGATATACAACGTGTAATGTTTCAGTAGTTGTTTGGAATGTTTCGCTAATTTTTCATTCAACCCGGCAGTTACTGATAACACACTTCAGGAGAGGGATTCAATCCAAACTTGCCTACTAAGGGATGCCAGCTTTCAAGTATCTGAATTCCTGTGGTCTAATCTTCCTAGTGTTGAAATCAACAATATTTCAAGCCAAGCTTCATTACTATTATCTAAATTGTTTTCCTTAATATAACCACTAGATGTCTTCAAATTTATTTTCTGTATCTTTACATAATTTAGACAAAGAAATCATTTAAAGCATTAGCAACAACACAAAAACTATTCAGTTTTAACAAATGAGTTTGAAAGTCAAAGTCACTTGGATATTGAACTTGCTTTCCCATTTTCTTTCCAGTACTTCCTCTTTCACAATCACGTTCTAAGTGGTTTTGTCTACTTCCTGGATATGGAATGATTTAAATAAACTGTAAAAGGACTCATTAGATGAAAATAATAAACTGACTGTAAAACAACTGTTTTCAAACCAACTAAAAAAGTAGATTGACAAACAATAGTTGTTCTTCCTTAAACCCTTTCAAATTATAGTTACTAGAGATACTATTTCTAACAGTGGTAGGCAAACAGTTCTTGAAAACTATGTATGACTTAAAGTCAATGTCAATTTTTTGGCACAATTCAGTCAAATATATGAGCATACATATCACTTGAAACATTTAAATGGTCCAACTTTCTTTCTGTTTGAATGCAGACCTAAATTAAAAACTCTAAATCTTAATTCAAACCATGCTCATGGAAGAGTGATATAGTAACTTCTTAGAACTATGAAATAATATAAATCTTGTCTGATGCTCATATTATTTATAAAATAGGAGGCAGCAGTTGGTTTCTTATTTGAAGCAGAAGTATTAATGGGGGACTAAAACCAACAGGCTGTTCTTGACTATTTTCAGTTTTTCTTTACAAGCACACTGCAAGCTTCACTTTTCACAAGAAAGCATTCCTCCCTAGAAGGGACTTTCTCTTCACAGTATAAAGAAAGAATAAATCCACAGGGACTGAAGGTCAGATTCTAAAACATGAGCTTTATTTCTTTTCCATATGTTTACTTCTTGTCCCAAGCTCAAAAAAACCCCAAGCAAACCCAAACTACAACATGCCTAATGATATTGTTGTGGAAAGCAATAGGACAATGCCAGTGACTTGGTGAAAGACGAAATAAAAGTTAAGTTCACACTTGCATAGAGACCTCACTTAAATCTTAGCCAACAATTCAGTTTCACCTAAATTCCTAAAATAGGGGTTAAGTAGGACTTAAATGGTGCAGAGGCTTTGGGATGGCTCTCTGTGGTGGGGTGAGTTCCCCATAATGCACAAATAAATAGGAAAATTTCTCTCTTTTACTAAGCAAATATATTTTGTGGCTATATTTTCAGTTCAAGACCTAATGTGATATTACGACCATGGAGTTATTCACAAGGGCCATCTGAGCAGAGCTTCAATTCTGGCACTTCATAAATAGTTCCTTTTTTATTTAATGCCTTTTTTTTTCTTTTCTTGAAGTATATCATATAAATGAGAAAGCATTTCAAGTAAGTTTATGTATGTTAATTTGCCAATAAGGAAGAGAAAGACTTGTATTCTGTGGTTTTATGAATTATATTTATTCATTACAAAAGCAAAATGGTTCCCTTTTCATGGTGAAAATGAAAATAGGTGGTAGCATATTAGTTTGAATCAAGAACACATTATCTAAAATTGCTTTCTTTGTAATTCTTGATCTGAATCATATATTCGCCCACAATTCAGCTTTAATCTAGCAATCAAATAAGCATGAATGTATGAGGTACTTTCTTTGATGGGAAGACATCAAAGGTGATTTATGATGAACTTTATCCTTGTGCAGAGAGCTAGTACAATGTCTATGCACTATGGAAGTCCTACTTCAGCTTCAAAATTAGACTGATTGGTATTCTTATTTTTTATATTTAGTCTTTGTCCTAATCCTGTATGAAGACATGAATAACCTCCTCGTGTGATGATTCTTCAACAGATGCCCACCACAAAACTTCCATGAACTTGTATAATTTAGAAATAAAAGAAAGGTGTCTGACTTTCCTGTCTCCCACAAAGACAAGGTATGCCTCAGCTCCACTTTTCTTCCCAGTTGCCAGAAATTTAGACCCAGCTTTCTAAAGTCTTCCTAGTAACAGCAATAAAAATGGAAATGAGACTTCAAATGCCTATTAGTGTTCAAAAGTTCTGTGATACGGTAGTAAAGTTACCCTGAAACAAAAGAAGGCAAAAAGAGATGTTAACTGTTAAAGTAGTTCACCCCATCTTATTTTCTACCTGTCCTCTAAGGCTTACCAGTTTTATTTTAATGACTGTATTGTCCATGCCTGTTTGTTTCTTTAGTACCCAGGGCAGACAGTATGTAGCAAGAGCATGTTCTCCTTCTAACTGCTCAATACTACTGAGTATTTTATTGTCACACCAAAGACTCTGTGTCGGTGTTCAGGTTATAGCTTTTTGGGAATTAAAGATGTAAACTGCTAATAAGTGATTTCTTATAGTTTCTCAGATGACAGTTTCTTCAGTCTAGAGTAATTGTTTTAGACATTGTTTCCAAGCTACTCAGCCACACACCTAGCTTTATTTCCAAGAATAAATGCCAAAAATACTTAATCACATTTACAACTTCATGAATGCTGGTAACATTCCTTACCTTCCTGAACACTTTTTGAATCAGGAGTTTAAAATATTTTGGGATGATCTTAATACTTTGTAGTTTTCAAGAAAGGCATACGGATATGGAGATGTTATTTAGAAGCAGGACAACTATGTACATCATTAGACCGACAAGAAAACTTTCCAAGACTTCATAGAAATCAATCTTTTTCCTGTACTTGGTTCTCAGAAAAGCTCTATAAACATCTAATAAAACCAAGTAAGTGGAAAAAAATATTCTGATCCCTGTATTAACACTACTACTTCCTGTGGTTTTCAAGCCATGGTCCGAAGAATCAGTGGGTCTGCAGTCCTCTTGTAAATGCTTCGCGTCGGATAACTTAGAAAAGCAAGTCTCCTTTCAGCATATTTGAACCAATTGCATAGGATTCTGTGCCACCACTGAAAAGCTGTTAGCAGTCCTTGAATCGCAGAAGTTTAAAACCCACTGCCTACCTACCAAGGCCACGTTAGGGATGAATATGGCTCGTACTTGTATATTTTTAGGATTATTATTTTTTTATATGCCAGTAATATCTTTTTTAAGAAAAAACACAAGCCATTTCAATGCAGAAAATTTTTTAAAGCTCTGTCGCTGAGAATCTGAATTTTTATCGCTTGCTCTAGAAATTAATTTTCTTCCAACTAGAAAAAATTAAGCACACATATATTGCCAAACAAAACAATGACATAATGCATATGATATACAGTATTTATGAGATTAAACATGAAATAGGCAGCTCAAAATGAAAGACATTTTTTAAAGCCCTCTAGACACAGAGATTGGAAGGCAAATGTCCTAAGTAATTTAGTACTGCAGGCAGCACATTATAAACTGATTGTCCACCACCCGTCAAGAAGAAAAAAACCACAACTGTACTTGAGTTTTTTCAAAGTAATAAATGTAACTGATATACTCAAATTGTGCAATCTCTGAATTCCAGCAAAGTACAGTTTCCCAGTAAATGCCACTTCTGGATTCCTCAGTGAAGCACTATGAAGTACCATGCTGTTAAGGACATTTATTTTTCCAAGTACAACCCCACCTTAATTCATTTGTAAATATTTCCCAGCCCTGCTAATAAGCCAGGATGTATTTATAACAAAATGACCTTATTTCCAGTGAAAGGCGTACAAGAGTTGGGTTAATAATTTGTATCTATCATGCCATACACTTATTAAACGAGACCAAAATTGCCTGGAACAATGCAGTTGCCTCTAACCGAGAGGAGACTTTTTACTTTGGATGTTTTGGCAGACTGCAGCTCCTGATCGCAAAGAGCGCTAAGAGAGAATCACTCACATATTTTTAGGAGTAGGGACAAACAGGAAGTCAGAAAGACAGCAGTATTGTTGTTCTGCACTTTGGTCATACTGTAACAACACTTCATGGATAACAGCTATTTATATTATCTCCGTATAGCACTTGTCTCCCTGGTACAAAATAAATAGATAACTGATTCTGTAGCTTCCTACTCATGGGATCGCAGTTGGTTCGCATATGGGAAGGAGGGATAAATTTAAAGCTATTCATCTGGATTACATGCTCGTGGGATTGCAACCTTGCGCTGTACATGTCAGTCCACAGAGCCATCAAAGGCTTGAGGCAGGCAGTAATGTGGCATGCCTGTATATGCTATCTACCTCGAGGCATCACAGGATCAAAATACAGGGTGTAAGCCATATGTATGTACTTATCTTCTACGACACATTTTAGGGGAGAGGAAGAAAGCAGGTGCAAATTTGTTAAGCAGACGACCTGCAGCCCTTCTTGCCAAGCATCCAGAATACGGACTGCTGAGCCTAGCAACTCTAACAGTTGTCACACCCTCATTATGAACAATAGTTAATGCAAACTAATTTTGAATAAAAAGAAGCATTTTCTTTTAAAGTGCCACCTTGCTGAAAAATATATTATTTATTTAAACCATGAAAACAGATACTAATATCAAACTGACCTATGCAAAATGGAGCAAAAGGTAACTATTCAATGACCATATGAGATGACGTGAATCCTATGCTTTAAAAAAAAACCAACAAAACAAATCTGCAGGCATAAGACCCCCCAAAGCATTTATATTATAAGTACTATTTAGACACCTAAGTCAAACAATTTTTGTAGGATTTACCAAAAGAACTACTGCATAAAATACCATGGGAATTAATTAGTTGCAAATTAAAACAAAATTAATACCTATCATAAAATGCAGTTGCTAAATTAGGTTCTGATTCAAAGCTCATTACTATCAGTGGAAAGGGCTTGTATTACTCTGTAATAAAATGGTTGAGCTGGTGATCTATCCCTATTCCTATGTACGAATATTTGAGAAACAAATACAGAAATTCTCTTTTGCCGTTAGCAATTACGCCTCACAATGTGAAGTAGAATATGCTTCTGTGCTCTGTAAGGTACCAAATTACCTAACTTCTTGGTCAATTGCTTTTAAGATTTGGGAGGACTCTGGTACAGTATGAAGCAAAACAAAAAGTGAAAAGCCGTAAATTCAGGTTAGAAAATAGTTGAAACTAGTTCAAGGAACACTGCTTTACTTGACAGAGTAAATATAATGCTAAGTAACAAAACATTAACAGCATAGTCTTTGTTCAATGTCTGGAGAGTGTACAAAGATTCAGCTAAAACAAAGCACAGCATTAAATTTTAAGGTTTTTCTCTTTTCAAGCTCTAAAATAACACTGCAATGTAGAACATTAAACCTTTTATCAAAGTACATCAGTTCTTTGAAACTGCTCAGCTTTACAGGATTTCATTTTAGTGAATGAAATTTGAACCAACATATAGACAAGTAACTCTTCGCATGTCTTTTCAAATACAAACTTACATACAAAAGAAATATTCCTAATAATGTATTTATAATTTTCTAAGTAAAGGACAAAAAAACCTCAAACATTCCATGCAAGACAGCAAAGAAGAGTTTTGAAACTAACGCAATGTTTCCATCACTTTAAAAACATCACAGAATTGTTGCCAAGCAAGAACTCAAAAGTCAACAATTTTTCTACAAAACCCTCTCTAAATGCAGAGGCATCTCCGTCATGGAGATGAACTGTATTTTGTGCACTACTGCCTAATTCAGATCCACACAAACACAAAACTGTGTCTCAGCATTAAAAAAAAAAAAAAAAAGACTAACCAAACCTCTCCATGGGGAAAACGAATCTGACACAGCAGTTACTATTAATTAGCATTCCTCTTTGTTCAATACTACTTCCAGTTTCCAAAGGAAGTGTGACAGGCTGAACTAGTAAAATGCTACTTCTCAAAGCTGCAAACACCCTATTTCCTGGGTAAACAAGTTACCCTTCAGTGACATATCATGCACTAGTGTTTTGGAGAGTATCAAGGTTAACTACTTCCATCTGTGCATTCTACACCTTATATACAGTCTTTTTTAAAAAAATCAACATTTAAAAGACCTCTTAAAAGGCATTTTTATTCTTTTACTATTAAATGAACCTCAGGAAGAAGCAACAGAAGAAAGAGGACTGCATGACAGATGGTCACAACAAAGCAGGTGACCCCTGAAGCTTCCTAGCTTGCTGCGAGTCAATTATTAATGGGGATTTCTCTTCTTACCGCCCCATCCCATGCAGAGAGGAGCAGCAGCAAAACCTCATTCAGAATGCATCCATCCCTGCTAAGTGACTTTGGAAAGAAGTAAATCGGCAGCAGTGAGCAGATGGTGCAAGCAGCTCAGGAATAGGAGAGAAGCGTAGAGGAGAGAGGCGATCCTGCAGAGACGGCGTGTCCGAGGAGCAAACCACAGAACTCACTAACCCGAGCTCTCCAACTAAGATATACCGTGGGAGTTGCAGATCGCCGGTGCTCTGCATCCCCACTGCTTTGTTTATCGGAAAATATTCAAAATGGAAACCTGACTCCACTTCTAAAAATAGCTGAATTTATTCGGTTTCAACTTGAAGTCCCACTGCTGAAGTGTGACAACGGAGAGCAAATACCTCGTTTTATCTCCAAAAGGCAGCATGTCAAGCCCAGGGAAGAAGCCCAAGCGAGCTCTTCAGACCTTTATGCGAGGTCTTTGCCAGACCCAAACCCAGCCGAGGCGAGCGCGGAGAAGACGCCCCCGGAGCGCGGCGCAGAGCGCGGCCCCGCGCTGCCCCCTG